TGGGATTTCATATTTATGATAATTATTACGATGCAAAATGGACATATCATTCTACAATGCTGCTTATATATACACTAGAACATTTTTCCCCAAATTACAACTGTAACATGCAGAATAAGCTCGTTGCTGTAATTGGTGGACTGGATTCTCTTACTTCTCTTGATATGGCAATTATTCTGGATACCTATAAGATTCCTCAGGTAAGGTTTGCAAATGAAGTTTAACAGATAACAGATAATCAGATTTGGAAGGGACCTTGTAGGTCATCTAGTCCAATCCCCCATCCAAGGGGGAGACCCTACACCATTTTTGACAAGTGGCAGTCCAATCTCTTCTTGAAAGTCACAAGCGATGATGCTCCCACAATTTCTGAGGGCAAGCTGTTCCATTGGTTGATTGTTCTTTAACACTTTTTAAATCATTTATTTAATTTGCTGAATGTACTTTGTTCTTGGAACCAGCTTACATAATTAAGTTATCCAAGGTAGTTACGTATTGATTCATGAATGATTCTTCTTACATGTGAAGAAATAATATTTAAATCTATATAACTAAGCTAAGAATACATTTCCCTCCACAAATCATATTTACTAAATACATATAGTATGTTTGGTCTTATGAGAATGTCATAAAAATATTTTCAGGGATTTGACTTCTCAGATCTCTTCATAAGGCCAGCTTGTCCCTGAGAATCCATGGAAATCATGGGAATTAATGCCTATTAAACTTGATGACGGGTCCTAGAGCTGGAAACAACTACCACATATGTGCGAGGGGAAACTATCTTTACTTTTAACTTTTAACTTGATGACAACATGACTGTCTCTGAAAGCCATTGACCTGGGAGATTTCCTTTTGCTTTCTTGTACAGTAGATCATGAGACTGATCCATTAGGATTGTTAGTGTTTGGGGACAAACCCCCAAGCAGAGTGCACAGCAGCAGTCAAGCCAGGCAGCCAAATGAGAGAGAGGCTGGGCCCAAGAGTATACACACTGGAGACAAAAACACTGTTTGTAGTTTTAAATAGTTATTTAATTCATTCAGAGTTTAAGCAGTGTCATTCAGTCCATATGTCATTTATCCAATATATCCATCCAGTAACCTAGTCCATCAACTAGTCAGTACAATCTCTTTATCTGCTTGTAAATCTTCTCCTTCCGATACCTTTCTCTCGAAGACAACGCTGAGTATTCACAGGATATCAGCTAACCAAGTAAACAGTCCTTTTGTTCAGTAGAAACGGTATCCAGCACAGTAGCCAACAAGCAGACATCTCATACAGTAGTAAACAGCAGGCAGCAGACAGCAGAGAGACCAGCGACCAGCGAACCAGCCCAGGAAGTGTTACATTACTCTCACTGCCTTTTTATTGCTGCTTGCAACCGCACCCTTAATTATCTAATTACATTGCAGTTTGGTGCTTAAAGCTACAAACACTTAAACCTAGGTTTATATATTTAGTCACCCAAACCTAGTTGGTGTATCCATATACCCAACAAGGATATTACTTATATTCCTGGGAGAAGAAACAATAATTTCAAAATTTTAAGAATACTTCACCTCCAAGAAAGCTGAAAGTAGAGAGAACTGTTGTCTGTTCTAAGTAGGACATTACATTTAACAACGATATATTTTAATATTTTAACTATTTTTATTTGTTTTATAACCTGCAAGCATCCAGAGTCACCCTATAAAGGAGACAAGTGGCATCAAAAAATTAAATCATAAATAAATAAATAAATCACTGTCAGACAGCAAGGAATGGAAGATTAGTATGTTTAAATAGACAAAAACCACCAATCATTTTTAATGTTGGTTTGTCAAAAAGCAACAGAAGGAGAGCACACATGTGCAATGAATACTGAAATGCTATACTAAGATATTGAGGCTTTATAGTAGTTAGTCAGCAAACAAATTTTTTTATCTAAAGTGAAATATTCTTTAATGCATTAGTTGTGATAGATAGATAGATAGATAGATAGATAGATAGATAGATAGATAGATAGATAGCTAGATAGATAGATGTAGATGTAGATGTAGATATATAGGTATATATGTATAAGTATATATGTATAGGTATATATGTATAGGTATACATATAGATAATATAGATATTGATATAAATGATATAGATATAGATACCAAGAGATACAGAGAGATATTCTTACCTTGTTTGTTATTGCCTATCTCATTGGAAATGTTATAAATGACAGTTGAAACAATACATTCAATTTATTCTTTATTCAATTTATTTTTACTATAAACAGTGCAACTTTACAATAAATGCTGCAATTGTTCTTTTTCTTCTTCATGGATGCCTTTAGCTCACCTATAGTCCCACTCCAGTTATAAAGGACAAATCTCCTGGTCATTTCTTCTACCAGATGGTTCCTAAGGAAGACCTTCAGTATGAAGGAATTCTGTCTCTGCTTCTATATTTCAAATGGATATGGATTGGAGTGGTGGTTATGGAAACGGACAGTGGAGAGAAATTTATATAAACAGTGAGACCCGTGTTTTCTCAGAAGGGAATTTGTTTTGCATTCATACAGAAAATCCCTGTTATAACTTTTATTACTGATATATCAGAAATACTGTATAAAGGGAGGATTATTTATAATACATTGACACATAGTAAGGCTACAGTGATACTTGCTTATGGTGAATCTAATTCCTTTGGATTTTTTAGATTTCTTTCGTATCAATCAGATGAAGATATAGACAGTAAGTATAGGAAATCCTTAGGAAAACTATGGATCACCAGAGCCCAAATGGAGATTGCATCCTTTGTATTTCAAAGAAATTGGGATTTAGACATTTTCCATGGAGCTATAGCTTTCATGTTTCACTCCAGGGATGTATCTGGATTTCAACAGTTTATAGAAAGTCGAAACCCTTTCACCACAAAAGAAGATGGCTTTTTCAAAATCTTCTGGGAGCAGGTCTTTTCCTGTGTATTTCCAAGTACACTAATGAATGAAATGGAGAAAAATCATTGCACTGGAGCTGAACAACTAGGGAGCCTCTTGTATCCCAATTTTGAAATGAGCATGTCTGGCCATAGCTACAGTGTCTACAATGCTGTCTTCGCTATAGCTTATGCTTTACATGATATGTTTAGAGCTGAATTAAAACACAAGACAAGGATAGAGAATGGACTGAAGCTACATAACCAGCCATTTTGGCAGGTAAAGTGCTCATTATATTCTATAATCCTGATTCCAGATTCTCTAGTAAACTGATAGTTTCCATTCCATCACATAACATAATCCAAATTTAATTCAGTTGCAATTGGTCTTTAATAATTATAATTTATGAAGTTTAATCACATCTTTTGCAAGGAGCAATGTTTAAATAAATGAAATCAGCCCTGGAACATTTTACCTGCACATGTATTTTGATTAACATTTTTTTTTTTACATTTGTCATCCTTTTGTTTGTTATCTTTTCAAAATTTAGCTCCATCCCTTTTTGAGACATGTTACATTTAACAACAGTCTTGGGGACAAGATAATCTTTGACCAAGATGGAAAGTTAATAGATGGGTTTGATATAATCAATTCTGTTCTTTCTGAAAACCAGTCAAAAGTGAAAATTGGAAGGATAGACCCTCAGTCTCCTGCAAATCAAACATTCATCATAGACAAAGATGCCATAACGTGTAACAGCTGGTTTAACCAAGTAGGTTGTAAAAATACACAATCTGGGAAATGTCTAATCTGAACAGGAGCACTGAAATTGATTGTTAAAGAGGGCAATAATATCATTATTAGCTGGGGCATTTTCCCATCTTTATTTTTCAATCAATCAATCAATCAATCAATCAGAATAGAGCTAGAAGGGACCTATGAGGTCTTCTAGTCCACCCTCCTATTCCAGCAGGAGATCCTAAATAATTTCAGACAAGTGATTATCCACTCTCTTCTTAAAAACCTCCCCTGATGAAGCACCCACAATTCAGAAGGCAACCTGTTCCACTGGTTAATTAATTCTTAGTGTTCGGAAGTTTCTCCTTAATTCCAAGTTGCTACTCCCCTGGATTGGTATCCACCAGTGGAGGTCTTAACACATGGGCCTGATGGGCACATGTCCATGGGCCCCACAAGCATAGGTGCCCCATAAAAATCTGTGTATGTTAACTCTTCAATGCACCTTGCATCATATAAATACAGCAACTGTATGGCTTACTGAATATTATTGTGTTTCAAGCCTCGTGTATTGTTCAAATATCATGTTGATTAGCTGTTGCTGCACAGCATGTTTTTAATGTTTCAGCACCAATTTCTTTGGAAGTGCCAATAAAATAAATATATGTTTAATTTTATCAACCATTTACATTTTTATTCCTGTGAGTAATTGTCATAGGGACCCAGTACACTGCTTTGCCTGGGAGCCATAATTCTCTTAAGATAGCCTTGGTTTCCACCCATTGTTCCTTTTTCTACCTAAATATCTTGTGTTTCTGTTATTATTCCTGAAAATTGGAAATGAAAATTGGAAATATCTAATGTATTTTGCTTAACACACAAGTTACATGGTTACTATAGTTTGGAACAATATAAAATACTTGGAAGGATAATTAATGATACTGATTAAGCAGCTCATTATTTGAAAAACGAAGGTGTTTTATTCTGGAATGGACTTTCATGGCCATAAAGGTATCTATTGGGAAGTAAGCAGTTTTCTGATTTGCCTATTTTGGGGAACTTATTCCTGATTGGGCAAGATCTTGTGTAGGTTGTTGATATAATCCAGGGAAGGTAATTTGAGTTTGTTAACCTTCTTCTTTCTTGTTAATACTATTGGGATATGTAACAGATCACTTTGACTCTGAAAATGCCAGCTACATTTGTTAATGACATGTATTTCCTAGGCTATGATGACTAAATACGGCAGCCCAACATTTTCCAAAGCTGATAACTTTTGTCAATTTGAATATGACAGTATGTTGGAAAACTCTGCATTTATGCTGATCATGCTAGAGAGAAAAACCACAGCTTAGAATCAAAGTACTGAAAAAATATTGCTCTTTTTTATGTTGGTTTTGGTTCATGAATTAGACTGCTCCTGTTTCCCAGTGCACACCTAGCTGTAATCCAGGTTCTAGGAAGCAAGTAATGCAAGAGAGGCCATTTTGCTGTTACTCCTGCATCTTATGTCCAGAAGGCAAGATTGCAGAAAAGGAGGGTAAGGATAATATTGTTTTTTAGTTGCTTAGTTCTTTCCAAATCTTCATGAGCTGACTGATATCACTGCTGTAAGAACTGCTGGCAATTAACTGACACTCATGAACATGTTTGGTTACATTTTCTTCTGTGTCTCTTTTGTTGATTATTATCCATTTTTCCCAAATACCCAGGCTTACCTCAAATATTCTTGCCTTCCTTTATCTATCCCATTTTTTTAACCTTTGTTCTAATTACTTCTAGTGAGCAGTCTGGTTTTACTTTCTAGTACTGAATATATTCTTCGCAATTCAAAGTTTTTTGAACATTTTTCTCCAGCACTACAATTCAAAGTCAAACATTTCTGATTGTCCACCTTTTAAAGAGTTTTTTTTCCTGGATTCAGTATTATCCCTAGCCTTTGAGTGGTATTATCACTTTCATTATAGCCTTTCAGTATTATCCCTAGCCATTTTTAAAAAAATATTTTCAATGGAAAATGGATAAAAATAATTCTATTTACAATAACAATTCTTTTTTTTTTTATAAATTTTATTTGAGTTTTCACAAAAAAAAATACAAATAAAACATCTTTTTTGAAAGTAGCATAATCCCGGTTTACATTTCTTCATACAGACACAAATTCAATTTCATGCTCATTTTTATGTTCCATTCCATATCTTATTACTGTTTTACATTTTCTACATAGCTTCTCCCCTCTTTTAATTTTCTAACTTTTATTTTAATTATCTCATCTCAATACAAATCATTATATCTATACTTTTTGTCTGTCCTGTTTCAATTATCTATTATCTTTTCTCATTAAACAAAGTTTCTCCTGTAGTTGCTGATTGGAGTATGACACCTTTATATCTTTTAAGTGTATCCATTAACTCTTATTTAGGCTTCAATATATATCCTAAAGTTATAACATTCAATATAATATATAACTTCCATTCAGATTCTGCTTGGGACATTCTTAAAATACACACTATATTCTTAAAAAAAGAAAAAAATATATAAATATATGTAATTAAAACAACACATTCCATTCCAATTCAATTCTATCATTAATGTTAATATTCATTAAAATCTTAACTTCTTTAACATTACTTTTCAATTAAATATCATACTTCTATGGGAACAGTTATAAGCTTTCCATAATTAATTCCCCCCCCCTTCACTTATATTTTATAAAATATTAACTAATTAAAATGTTCCTGTCCCTTCCTAATTCAATTTTCTCATTTATTTTATTTCACTTATTTTATTAACAAACATTTCACTAGAATACACTAACTATTTTATCCCTCATTTTAATCATACATTGTTTCCAATTTTCTAAAGTTATTTCTATTACTAATATAACAATACAATCTTATGTACCTTTACAGAATCCCTTTTTCAGTTAGATTTTCACCCATTATCTCTAAATAGGTCCTGTTTCTCCATATCTTGTTCTGGTCCTTTGTAACTTCTTTTCCTCTCCTTCTTCCCTCTCTTCTTCTCTCTCCCCTTTTTACCCTCTTGTCTCTCTACCTCTATTTCTCTTCTGTATCACCCTTTTCTGTTGCTTTCCAGTATTATACTTATTTTTCAAATTATTTTTCTTTTCTTTGGTTGTTTTTTTAAGTCTTAAATTCTCCATTCTCTTTTTCCCCCTTTCCTTTTTCTTCCCCATATAAAATTACTTGTTCATTAAAGATGGCTTCTTCTTTGTCCCAGTCTTCTTGTTTTGCAGACATTTCTTGTTGTTTCTCATAGTTCCAAATCTCCATTTCTAAGAATTGAAAAACGAAGCCAAAAGAACCCTTCCCTTCTTGTGCATCTTCTTTGTACTTTTTAAGTTCCATTTTCAATTCATCCAGAAGTAGTGCCATTGTATAAATTTTTAAACAACCACCCGATTAATTTTAGTCATTCAAATGTAATAATCAAGAATTCAAAGATCACCAGATAATTCAAATACACACAAGCTGTTTCTTTTTGTTCTTTTTTTTTCCCTTTCTCTTCCTGGGGTTACTGTTTAGTTACAAAGTTTCAGTTAAAATGTATCTTTTAGAAGTCTTGTTGAGATTTTACTGTAGATTCTTTTTAATTCCAGGCAGTCTCCTCCCAGATCCTGCCCTTTTATTCTTTTTCTCTCCCTTCCTGCTTATGAAAAAAATAATTTAGTGTCCAGAAATCTTTATTATCCCTTTGACATTTTGTTTTATTTTCAGCTTAATTGCCTGTTGATGTCAAAGCGGATTTTTCCAATTTCTTATTTAAGTCTCTTAATTGTCAGTATAGGGAAAGGGAGAGAAGAAAAAAAAATCCAAATCTTTCCCTTGTCTCTTTCCTTCGCTGCTTCAGACTCTTCTTTGGGAACGATGTTATTTTTTTGTAAGTTTAAATTCTAGGGTGCCTTAGCTGTTGCTTTTGCAATTTAACCCAGTCAGCCAAAACTTTCACTTCTTATCTTCCTCCTGCACATTCTTTTCCGGTTGAGTTCTTCTTTGAGGTGGCCATTTCTGACCACTGCTACAACTGCCTTCGGGAAAGGGAGTAATGGCCAGCTGAGGAGGAGAGATGTGGCTCTCCTCAACCATGCTGGCAGTCTCCCCCTTTTTCACCACCTCTATGGGGTAGCTTAGCCTCAAAACCAGCCGGCTCGGGGTGCTCCAGCAGCTAGCCCAGACCGAAACCCCTCACAATTGCAGTTTTCTGTCTGTCACCGAAGGAACTCAAACCGGAAGCCCCTATTTACAATAACAATTCTATCTAAAGTTCAGTCTCTCATGTATGTTATTTCTTTTTCACTTTAAATATAAAAATAAATACTTCACTTTTTAATCACACTACTTAGGAGAGTATTCTTGAGAAATTAAACAAATTTAAATTAGAAATAATATTAAAGTAACTTCTATCTATTAACTTCTGCAAATTTATCCTATTGACAGAAATCATATTTCTTTAGCCAGGATATAGAAGCCAAAATTCCATGAATCACTATAAAGTAATTATCAATATTTTAAATGTAGTCATACATTGTGGGCTTTACTGTTTGTATGCAAGCACTGGTGCATATTATCTGAGTTTATAAATATGGGTAGATATGTGTGTGTGCACATATACTTCACTGTTGGATTCAGAATAAAGTGCTATCTGATATTCAGCTATTTAAAAAGTTATCAGTGGTGGTATTTATGCATAATTTTGATACTTACTGGACCCTTTCAATTACAGATATGAATGAGTGCTATAATTGTACAGAAGAAAAGTATTCCAACAAAAATCAGGATTCATGTATTCTGAAGGACATAAGTTTCTTGTCTTATGAAGAACCTTTGGGAATAAGTTTAGCTTGTTTTTCTCTTTTCTGTTCCATAACCACAGTTCTTACACTGAAGATATTTCTGATGCATCACAACACTCCCATTGTCAAGGCCAGTAATCGGGATGTTACCTACATGCTCCTGGTAACTCTCTTGCTCTGCTTCCTTTGTGTATTACTATTCATTGGTCAGCCAACCAAGGTGACATGTATACTCCGACAAACTGTTTTCAGCATCATCTTCTCTGTGGCTATTTCCTGTGTGCTGGCCAAAACTGTGACTGTGGTCCTGGCTTTCAAGGCAACAAAGCCAGGAAGTGGATTGACGAAGTGGGTGGGGAAAAGATTGGGCTATGCTTTTGTTTTATCTGATTTCTCAATTCAGGTAGGGATTTGCACTCTATGGTTAGCCATCTCTCCTCCTGTCCCAGATGCTGACCTGCACTCAGAGGCTGAAAAAATTGTCCTACAGTGTAAGGAAGGTTCTATAATTATGTTTTATTTTGCAAGGTTTTATATGGGTTTCTTGGCCATAATCAGCTTCATAGTGGCTTTCTTTGCCAGGAAATTATCAGATACTTTTAATGAAGCCAAATTCATCACTTTCAGCATGTTAGTCTTCTGCAGTGTTTGGATATCCTTCATTCCAACCTACCTGAGCACCAAGGGGAAATACACGGTTGCTGTAGAGATTTTCTCAATGTTAACTTCGAGTGCTGGGCTGCTGATCTGCATCTTTTCCCCCAAATGCTACATTATTGTTCTGAGACCAGATCTAAACAACAGACAGCTAAAAAGACAGAAGTAATGAATGTTCCCAAGAATATAGTTGTAATCAGGGGTGGGATTCAAAATTTTTAACAACCGGTTCTGTGGGTGTGGCTTAGGTGTGGGCATGGCTTGGTGGTCATGTGACTGGGTGGACATGGCTTGGTGGTCATGTTATTGGCTGGGTGTGGCCAACTCAATATCACTCACATAGAGGCACGCATCTCCTCGCCTGGCCTCTCATGACTGTGGGGATGCTGCAATAGTCGTAAGTGTGAAAAATGGTCATAAGTCACTTTTTTCAGTGCCATTGTAACTTTGAATGGTCACTCCATACAAGCGAAGTACCAGCAAAGTAGAGAAAAAATACTCCAGAGATGTTCCTGAGACAGGAAGTCTAGTCCTGCCAAGAATGTAATAAGGATTAATGGAGAGGCAGTTTCTGCAAGCAACACCAGAATGTTTCCTTCCTGCCTTCCTTACAAGATTAGTCCAGAAATTTCTTCTAACAACCGGTTCTCCGAACTGCTTAGAATGCTAACAACCAGTTCTAGCAAATAGGTGCGAACTGGTAAAATCCCACCCCTGGTTGTAATCTGCATTGCAGATGAACTTGCATTTTTATGTTGTTTTAAAATAGAAATTCTGCTGGATATTTTTCCTATTATTTATACTGATTACATTTTTAATGGACTATATTTATTAGGAATGCTTTCATTTTGAAGATACTTGGAAAATTAACGAGCAGGTATCTTCAAGGTCATTTTTCCTATTCCTTTTTCAGTTCATAATATTAATAGAAAGTTTTCGTAATAGCAATGATAATCAAAGTCACCAGAAATACAATTTGTTATTGTACAAAGCTTTCATTACAGGCGGTTCTCCATTTATGACTATTCACTTAACATACAAAGTTACAATGGTAGTGAAAAAAATGACTTATGGCCAGTCTTTACACTTATGACTTCACAACATCTCCCATGGTTACATGATCAAAATTTGGGCATTTGGACACTGCCATGTATTTATAATAGTTGCATAAATGGGCCACATGATTGCCATTTGTGACCTTCCTGTCTTCCAGCAATAGCACTTAGCAATAACACTTAGCTTATGTATGGCTCCATAGTGTTATATAGCATTCTTAATTGATTTTCAATGTCAGAATATTGCTCCCAACAATTTGGGATCTCATTTTACTGACCTGCACAGGATAGAAGTTTGAGTCAATTTTGAGCTGGTCAGGATTGAACTCCTGCCTAAGGGGAGATATAGCTTACCATGCTGCATTCTAGCCACTACATCATCACAGTTCAGTGTTAATGGGAAGAGCCACTTAATTGACACCAGCTTCTTAAGACTTACTTAATAACCATGGTGAATTGTTTAACAAATGCAGCATAAAATTGGGCATGTCCCACTTCACAATTGCTTTGCTTGGCAGCAGAATTTCCTGGTCTAACTGTGGTCATAAGTCAAGGAATATTTGCATTTAGCTTATCATTGTGTAGTATGGATAAGTATCAAATAAATCATATATTATACATCATATGTATTTTGCCAATCCAAAATATGAAATTTGTTTAGAAGCTATAACTTTATGTATGAATTATGTGAACCATATTTTATCAATATTAACACAGATATTTAAATCTATCATTTAAATTCTAACCATAAATAATTATTTGTTTTTGTTTTGTACCTGGAGAGAATAAACTACTGAAAAGCTAGAATTATAGAAGGCAATAATTTCCAAAATTCTTAGGAAGTGAATTGAACTATTTAAAATGCTGGTTCTTTAATTAGCTTTCTTTTTTTGTTTTGGACTAAAATGTGGAGAAATTTAGAACAAAAACACTCCCTTATGTAAGGAAATATAGGGATTTTGGTCATAACTATTGTTTTAGTCATAAACATTGAACAATAATGGATGGTTGAAAGAAACCATTTCATTGTAATGGGATGCTTCTGCTGTATAAGGTATTATCTGTGCTACAAAACTATCATTTCTGTTCCAAAGATTCTCAGACTTTCACCAAGATAATACAATTAGGCAAAGAGAGAAGATTTTCAGAGAAACGCTATATTGTTTTGAATACAGACTGGATCTAATAATTTTTTTTCAGAATGTCACTCCATGGTATTCTTTGTTTTGATTGGTGACCATTTATTGTATATCAAAGCTCTGTAGAAACAGATTGTTGAGAAAAGTTTTCATTCAGAATGGAGCAGATAATACAAGCTTATGTATGTATGTATTTATCTATTTATTTTGGGGAAAGCCAAGTGGGACATTTTCTGCTGTGTTATAATTGTAAATTGACTCTATTTTATAAGAAAATCTAGTTTTATTGTGTTATTGTGGATGTGGTCAAGGAGACAGTTTTTCATCCACTACACACTGCACACTATGCTAGAAAAATGCCTGGATTTTCTATTTGATAAATGTTCCCAACCTATTTGACTCTGCTGAATCCTGAAAAATCTTAACAAATAACTATAGCATTGGAAGAATTAATAGACCATATGGCTTCTGCTCATTTATCAGAGAAAATATGTGTATTTACATTCCAGTGGCCACAATAAGTTGATATTTCTATTTGTTGTTATTCAGTGTTTAGCATTTTCTGAATTGTATACTGCAGCATCAGAAAACTAATTTTGGCAAGTCATGTTTTGGCATACCAATAGAAGCATCAATGACAAGAGTAAATATAGGTTTGGAACATCTTGAAGAATTTAGGAGGGTGATTGAGAAGATAATAAGAAAAATTGTGCTACTTCCATCAATATGTTCTTACAGAAGGAAGATAGTCTAAAAATAAAGGTTTTCAGTCTCTTAAGGCACATTTGTTCACTAAAAAAATCCAATGAACTGGCATTACGATAAAACTAGGATACCAGAGAGGGGGAAAAGTACAGTCTATTAAAAAAAAACCTCTTAATTGGCTTTGAAATGTCAATAATTCATTCTTTGGAAACTATTTTGAAAAGCGGATTAATTCTATGATGATATGTGTGAAGTGTCAGTTCGGTATCAAAGTCTTCATTTTTGGATTATCTGTCCTTTTACAGCCCAGTACTGGAGGCAGGAGAGCAATATACTTATTAATGAAGAAGATAGGAAAAAATCCCTTCAGTCACGATAAATATATTGGATCTTTTAGATATTCTACATGGAAAACAATTTCCATCCCTGCAATTAGCATAATATCTGTAATTAAATTAATTGATTATGAAATTTGCAGTTTGTTCCCAAAGATCAACTCTTGAACACAGTCAGTGAAATATTGGATAAATATAACCTTTTGCAGTAAAGGTAGGGATGGGGATATCTGTTTGTCAATATGACCTGAGTATTCAATATTTGGAATTTTAGATTGGCCAGAAGACTGTCTTATTTAATATTGGAATAATAGTAATTACAATTCATTCTACTTGTATGCTGCTGAATCAGTAGATAATCTAATGGCTGCTTTGTAGATAAAAGGATGTACACATAGAAGATTTTTCCATTGATTTCAGGATGCTGGTAGGAGCGATGTTCCTGTTAATTCTGTTTCCATACACAGCATATGAAGCTCTCACGGCAAAATACCCACAACAACCACTTCATAGCTATCATCAATCTGGAGATCTCATCATCAGAGGCATCACATCTCATGGGACCTTCCCCTCCTATGCCAAAGATTTCATAAAGGAACCTCTACCAGCCATGCCTGAGGAACTTATGTAAGGAATTCATTTTAGTCTGTATGTATGTTTGTGTTAATTAGAATGCCAGATGATGTTATAGGAAATTCAAGAAATGTTATATGGTAGGTAGACAATGCAATTGTGCAGAAAGAAGGTGTGTAATTTTTTAAAAGATATTATTCTATATGATTATTGGAGCTATCAGGTAACATGATAATATAAGAATTTGAGTATATGAATGTTACTTTATGTTTAACTTTACATACTCCGAAGTAGTATACATCTTCTATAATGTACAATAATAAATATGATAAATCCTGCAAAAAGTTTCAGAACTGTAAAACATTATCTGATACAGGCTGCAACACTCATTCTAGAATACTTCCCAAGAATTACCAACAGGTTCTGGCCTTGGCTTTTGCAGTAAAGCAGATTAATGAAAATCCTCAAATTTTACCAAATATCACCTTAGAATTTTGTATTTATGATAATTATTATGATGCAAAATGGACATATCATCTACAATGCTGCTTATATATACACTGGAACAATTTTTCCCAAATTACAACTGTAATATGCAGAATAAGCTCCTTGCTGTGATTGGTGGACGGGATTCTCTTACTTCTCTTGATATGGCAATAGTTCTGGATATCTATAAGATTCCTCAGGTAAGGTTTGCAAATGAAATTTAACACTTCTTTTATCATTTCTTTGATTTGGTCTGTATACTTTTGTTCTTTCTGTATCTTGGAATGGATTTAGATAATTAAGATATCCAAGTTTAGCAAAGTGTTTTTAGCTTGTCATCATGGAGAAAGTGATTCATCAATGATTTTCTTTACATATCAAAGTACAATATTTAAATCCATATAAAAACACTAACAGAGGACTGGCAAAAAGCATCTACAAAAACTAACTAGCAGTCAGAAGATAAATGAAAACTCTTTAATTTCATAACATATAGACAGACTTAATCATAGTTTCAATTGAGAAAATGTGGCCATCCTAGACCAACCCGTGTCCAAAAATACCAGGGAATTTCTAGAAGCCTGGCACTTTTACAAATAAGCCATCAATTCACACACCAATAAACAATATCTATATTCTATGGCAAGATACAATCATCCAGCCAAAAGAGGGGAGGACTACAAGCACCTCTCCACCACAATCAGCAGCCAGATTAACATAAATTAACTCCAAGATTAACATCAGACCAATAGTCAAGTAAACAATACCCTAATAAAGAAACCACCATATAGGCCAACAGCAAACAACCCAACTAAAGAATCTCTAAGATCACCACCTTTACCAATACTGACAGGGGAAGACATTAGAATATAAAAT